ACCCTCCTAATAACAAAGGAGAGCATGCGTCCTCTCCACCTAGAGAGTCTTTTCTTTACTTTACTTATGACGTCATCCCAAAACTCGTGTCTTTTGTAGTTTCCTCCAACTTTCAACCCCAGATATGTAAATGGCAATATCATTGTCTTACATCCTAATTCCCGTGCACAACTTTTCAGTAATACAGACTCTACCCCTATTCCTCCTAATTTTGTCTTTCTCATATTGGCCTTCAATCCCGATGCTAACAGGAAGCATCTCAATATCGCTTTAATTACCGTAATGTTATTAGGATTTGTATCGCTAAAAAACAAAGTGTCATCTGCAAACTGTAGAAGACTAACCTGAAGCTCATTTCCCCCCACCCTGGCTCCTTGTAGCATCCCTTTTGCTATTGCTTGCCTAACCACCCCAGCTAGCCCTTCAACTACCACTAAGAAAAGAAACGGGGCCAAAAGTCTCCCTGTCTTAATCCTTTTTGGGTGAGAAACTCTTTTGTTGGGCTGTCATTCATCAGTACTAATATGGAGGCAGATTTTAAACAATCTTTAATCCACCTCACCCATTTCCTACAGAACCCGAGTTTTTCTAACATATAGAAGAGAAATTCCCAATCCACGAAGTCATAGACTTTTTCATAGTCTATCTTGAGTACCAAACCTTTCTTCCTTTTGATTTTGTACTCATGTATAACTTCGTTTGCTACCACAAGGCTATCCAGGAAACCTCTTCCTTCTAGGAAAGCAGATTGGGAAACACTAATTACCTTATTTAGCACGTCTTTCAAGCGACATGCTAACACCTTTGCTAGTATCTTATACAAGCTGTCTATCAAAGATATTGGTCTATATTCATCCAAATCCACAGAGATTTCTACTTTTGGAATTAGTGCAATGAACGAGACATTACATTTTTTTGGAATATTTACCCTCCCTCTGAAATTCTTCAATAGCTTTAAGTATGTTTACCTTCAGTGTAGGCCGATTATGTTTTATAAAGTAGAAATTAAAACCATCAGGTCCCGAACTTTTACTGCCTTCACAATTCCAAACTGTCTCCTTTATCTTTTTCTCTGATATTTTTCTAACCAAAACCTCATTTTGCATATTTGTTATTCCTTCAAACTAGATCTTCTAATTTTAGTCCAAAACTTATTTCTTGGTTGAAGAAGAATCTTAACACATAACTATAAATTTGTCCTTATCTGATGTAAAGATCACACATTTTAAATTTCTTTTAATGAAAAAAGGTCACAGATTTAAATATGTAAAACGACATTTGCAATGCTAAATATACATTGAGAGTTTCGTTTTACCTAATCTTGCATCCCATCTTCTTTCTTTAATTACTATTTTTCAAAGTGTTGTAAATGGAGGTGAATTTTATAAGAATATCTCTATCCCGTATTACTTTATATATATGGTAAATTATATAATATAATTTTAAATGAACTGAATTTAATAATATAATTTTTATTAATAATAATTTGAAATGAATATATATATATATATATATATATATCCAGATTTTTATGAACTATAATAAAAATGGTTAGATATTGAACATCAAAGTTAACCAAGATACTTACGATAAAATATTCAAATTATGTCATTTTTCGAAAATTATATTCTTAATTAATCTGTGACAGATTTTGTATCACTTTAGTTAGACATCTCTTCATGAATTTAATTATTATCGTACTGACTTAAAAGATGGAATAGTCTTTTACAAATATTTTTCAAACCTCTACAAACTAAAAAAAAACTAAATTTTTTTATAATTATCGTATAATCCAAGTAACGACAATAAATATAAATATAAATTAATAATTAATTTAATTAGAACATATATATAATTTAATAAAAACCATTATTATATAAAAGTTAATGACTTTTGTAATAATTAATTTGAAAATTATGATAAGATCACTTTGAATTTATTTACCTATAAAAAGTTTGACTTCTGTCTTTTATTTCTCCTCTTTAATTAAAATATAGCTTAAATAAGTAGTTAATTACGTATGAGCTCACGAAGTGCTGACCAATTGAACAGAAATTATTTATATTTTCCTTATTGTATTCTTATACTTGCACTCTCATTTTCTTATATATAGTTTTATTTATTTTCTTTGGTATTTTTTATGTGATTTTTTCCTCTTAAAAAAATATTTCTCAAACCTATATAACTTTTCTCTCAGTGTACGCAAATTTCAAACAAGATTAATTAAGTATAGTAATAATATTATTATAAAAATGGTAATTGTATAATAAATAATAATTGCATCATAATACAGTATTAAATTTATTTATTTATTTTTAAATAAACACATTTTTATGCGGAAGTCATATAAGACAAGCAATATGCAATGCTCAAAATGTTTTTTTGTCTCTTAAAGAAAACAAAGTAGACAAAATATCTTCAAAAGCTACAACTAGGTACCCATTATAACACTTTTTTTTTAATATTATTGTTTTGATTTGAATGCTCTATCTATATAGATATGAAAATATTAAAAAAAAAAGTCATATTTTTTGCGATGTTTTTTTTTTTTCAAATATTTGAAACAGAGTTGAACCTTATCTGGCGTGTTTCTTTTATATTTTACATGTATGAACAAATTATTAATGAAATGAATATAAAAGTATTATAATAGTATATAATTTTACTGTATAAAAATAATGAATTAATTTTTACATACAGTTAATTTTGGTATAAAGGTTTTTAAATTGATAATAATAATAATAAATTAATAAATTAATTATCAGTGTAAATAAATTTTACATTGTCATTATTTTAAATTGAAATAATAAATAATATAACTCATGTTTATTTTACTTCTAGATGTGGATAACGTGTGAAATGAGAAAAAAGCTTCCACACAAAGCAAAAGCTAAGAACTTTTTTTTTGGATGAAGAAAAAGAATCATGCACGGTTTCTGTGTATGTATAATGCATGGGTTTCACTTTGTCTAACCACGTGTTCTGGTGTTTGCATTCTAGAACAACGTTGTCGATGTGGCTTCTTCATAGTCACAACAAATCATAGGACATTTTTTAGATTAGTACTTTGACTAAGCATAACAATTTGGATATCTTTTATGTCTCTTTTTTCCCTCCCAACTTTCATACTCTTAAAAAAATTATTGATTCAAGTCACCATTTTCATTATGCTCCACCACACACTTCACCATTAGCGGAATAGTTAAAGAATTATCGAGTTTATATGAATTGATATGCTTTAAGATATCCTAAATTTAGAGTTCAAAATTTTGAATTTGATTAGGTGAGTTCATCCAAATATCATAATTAAAGTTTAATTGAATTGTTAAATACTATAACTTTTAATTCATTTAGTTTTGCCTCAAATGATTTGACATGTCATATTAGACTTCTAAAACCAAAACTAATTTTTTTATATATATAATTAATTTTATTAACATTGTTATCAGAATATGATCAATTTGGTTCCTTGGATAAAGTAAACTAGAAACTACAATCCTTAAAATCAACAACAGATTTATTACTATTGCATACTTTTATATTTAATTATTTATATTATTTTATATTTTAAACTTTATATTATTGTTGTAATGACCTTTTTATTATTATTATTATTAATGTTATAACATTAGTTTAAAACGTTATTATAAAGAGTAACATATTTATAAAATCTTATTAATTATATAGATACACACACACACACACACACATATATATATATATATATATATATATATATATATATATATATATATAATCAACAATCTAAATATTGTTTTAAATATATTTATGATATGTTAAAAGTTTATTACAATGCTATTTTATTTTTACTAATAGATAGCTAATTTTCTATCCTAGATATAAGATTATTCCAATCTTAATTTAATTTCTGAAATTTTAATTTTTACACATTATGCAATAAACTATATATATATATATATATATATATATATATATATATATATTAAATAACTCTGTTTCCTATTTCTCTCATTAATTTTAAATATTATGTATAATTTAAAAATATATATATATATATATATATATATATATAATTTCTTTGCTATATTATTTTATTATTATAATAATCACTTATTAGGTTTCATTTTTATTACATTTTCTATTATTTTAAATTCATACTAATATATTATTAATGCATTTATATTATATTATATTATATATATATATATATATATATATATATAATTTTTCTTATATAGTATCGGTTTCCCAGTATTATTATTTTGTGTTTTATTAATATTATTTACATGCAAAAATCATTTTATATTTGTGAAATTTACATCATACCAGTCAACATTTTGAATAGCTTTAAATATATTCACCAATTTTAGTATTATTATAGATGAAAAAAAAAGATAACATAAAAAAACAACAATAATAATAATGTTAAATTGAATGTAAAAATAACAACTAATTGTCATAATAGATTGTAGAAAGATGCACGATTTAGTTTATCAACTTCACTACCAGAAAGTCTTGGATGATGCAAGTAGAGTTACATTGCCATTGGCAATGGCACCAAGAATGTTCCATGTTATGAATCGGACAAAATGTCCTTAGCAGTGAATCGAATTTTATGGCCAATGCATAGCACAAAGACAATGCATGTCAATTACGAAGAGACGCAACCTTTTGCATAAGCAAACTCAAGATTTTTTTTTCCCTTCTCTTCAGCCGCCAACTGGTCAAACCACAACTTTGACTCACATAAAAAAACTTTACACTATTTTTTTTTTCAGATAGTATTAATAAAAATTGAAATTGAAACTAAAATTAAAATACCCACAACTTTCATGGGATACTTCCAAGAAATCTCTTCTCTCTTCCCATCTTTGGCCATTCAACACACGTAACCTTCTTCCTCTCTTTCTATTCCTTTCATGTTATTAAGCCAAAACCCTCTCATTTTTCATCTCTCTTTTCTCTCACAGCCTCCTCTGACAACTGTTCACAACGTTTTTAATCTCAGTTTCATATTCATGACTCATTCTTTCTCTGACCTTCTTTCTTCTCCCACCGACCACAACCTCGCAGGCTCCGAAAGACCTCAGGTGTCGGATCAAACAGGGTCTGGTGCGCCAAAATTCAAGTCCACACCACCTCCCTCTCTCCCTCTCTCTCACCCTCAAAATCATCCTCTTCCACCCATTTCTCCTTCTTACTTTAACATCCCCCATGGGTTAAGCCTTGCTGAACTTCTTGACTCTCCAGTTCTCCTCAACTCTTCTAACGTAAGTCAACCTTGTTCTTTTGCTTTTTGGTTCCTCACACAATATATCCTTCAATAAAGGGTAGTACAAATTAATGGAAAATAATATATACTGAAACTTTTACTCCTATGGCAGTTTAGTTGATTACTTGATTATCATTAGCCTGTTTGGAAACTGTTAAAAAAGAGAGTAAAATATTATGTCTGATATGGAAAAAGTTGGAAGTTATGACTATTAGTTTTTTAATAAACGTGCAAATTTATATCAGATGTGGAACGGAACATGCCATATTTCTTCTTGTTTAAATCTTCGTTGTTTTTTTTTTTTCATGATCGTTTACCCTTTTTGTAATCTCGTGTTTTGTTTTGTGAATATTGCACATTATAACTTTGTGTTGTTGTAGGTTTAATGGGTATGTGCGCGTGTGTTCTTATGGTTGTTTGTGATTTTAGGGTTTGCCATCTCCAACGACTGGATCATTTGCTGGTGAAGGCTTCAATTGGAAGAGCATTTATGGGGAAAGCCAGCTCCATGTCAAAGAAGAAAATAAAAGCTTCTCAAGTTTCTCCTTCCAAACACAAACACAAACACAGCCTCCTCTTACATCTTCAACTGGATTTCAATCTTCAATCGGCATACTTCAAACCGTGAGTGACCAATTTCAATGAACAAACTTCATTTATATGCAAAAATTCTATGCTTTACATGATAAGTTGAATTAATTCTGAAGTGTTTCTTGTTAATCAACAGGGGTGGAGTTTTCCGGAAACCGCTAAACAAGATGGTTTTTCTTCAAGAACGAGTATGAGTATGGTGAAAACTGAAACCTCTTCTGCGATGCAGAGTTTCAACTCTGAGAATAACCACAAGAGTGCTGGTTTTCAATCAGATTATAACAAGTACCAGCCACAAGTTCAGACCTTAAGCAGAAGGTCAGATGATGGGTACAATTGGAGGAAATATGGGCAAAAGCAAGTGAAAGGAAGTGAAAATCCAAGAAGCTACTACAAGTGCACATACCCCAATTGTCCAACAAAGAAAAAGGTTGAGAGGTCCTTAGATGGACACATTACTGAGATTGTTTATAAAGGCAGTCATAACCATCCCAAGCCTCAGGCTACCAAGAGGAACTCATTGTCTGCCTCATCTCATACAATTCCTCATTCAAATAGTGTTAACAATGAAATGACACTCACCACTCATCAAATGGATTCGGTTGCAACTCCAGAAAACTCATCTATATCAATGGAAGATGATGATTTTTGTCAGAGTAAATCAGGAGGAGATGAGTTTGATAATGATGAACCTGATGCCAAAAGATGGTGGTTTTTTTAATTGTTTTTGTTTTCATGTGATTCACTTCATTAGCGTGTTAAAACCCCTCCAATAAACTGTATTTTAATTATTTTTTTATATACTTTTCCAGGAGAATAGAAGGTGAAAATGAGGGTATATCAGCTGTTGGAAGTAGAACAGTTAGGGAACCCAGAGTCGTGGTTCAGACAACCAGTGACATCGATATTCTAGATGATGGATACAGATGGAGAAAATATGGGCAGAAAGTAGTCAAGGGAAATCCAAATCCAAGGTAAAAAGCTTTCATCTCTTTCTTTATATATGGTAGAAATAATTGTCCAACTTTATTAAAGTTATTCTACTTTAAACGTTATTAAGAATTGTGTATAGAGAATCCCATTAGAGAGTTCTCAAGTGGTAAGCTACTAAAAATAGAATAATATGTGTTGGGCAAACAACAAAAGTTAGTCTATATCACGTGAGGGAAGAAAAAAAAAAAAAAAGCGTATACCATAAGAGATATTATCCGACTAGAAAGAAAGTAATATAAGAAATATTAAATAAGATAAGAGATATAATTTTACTGTGCACGTTAAGGTACATATATTTTGATGGTAGAATTTACACACCTTGACTATTCAAATGTAGCATACACACACATCATAATGCATGATTATTAAAATATCTAACTACGTATATCTTATTAATTAGGTACGTTAGAAACATTGATTATTTGTTGGAATATTGTAAAGTATGCGCACATAAGTTTGCCTTGCTTTTGCATTGGTTTTGGTGAAATTTGGCAACCATCGTTTCTCTCACGTGTGCATGGGAATCAAATCTTCAGGACCATATAATGTCTAAACAATATTCGCAGAATGTCTAGTCTTACTGCTTTTCGTTTAATCTGTGACTGGTGTAGGAGTTACTACAAGTGCACATTCCCAGGATGTCCAGTGAGGAAGCACGTAGAGAGAGCCTCACATGACCTAAGAGCAGTTATCACAACCTATGAGGGAAAGCACAACCACGACGTGCCTGCAGCACGTGGCAGTGGCAGCAACTCTATCAGCAGATCAGTACCTATAAACACTACCACAAACAGCACCACTAGTGCAGCCTCCTCTATATACATTAACAATTCTCATCAGAATCCTAGACCACCAGGACCAGAAAGGACACAACACTTCAACCCCAATATGCAGCAGGGCTCAGGAAGTTTTGGATTCTCAGGCTTTGGAAATCCATTAATGGGGTCTTACATGAACCAACAATCTGACAATGTGTTCACCTCTAGAGCGAAGGAGGAGCAAGGAGATGACTCGTTTCTTGACTCTCTGCTATGTTAAAGAATAGTCTCATTGCATAGACTTGAAGTGGTTGGATTTTTTGGCAGGGCTTGGCATAGGATTTTACCTGACCAATAATTATGATCTAGCTCATTCCATTTATTTAAAACTTTTACATGCAGTTGTCTAGGTATTTTTCTTCTGTTTTTAAGTTAGTGTTAGAGTTTCATCTAAATTTTAATTCTAACTTAAAAGATAACCAAAAATACGTAAGAAATTGCATGTAAGTTTTATATATTTTTTTATTTTGTTTATTGGATATTTCCATACCCACAGGATTGGTATATATATACAGAATATTTTTTATCGTTTGTATTTTTCATTTCATAATTGTTGTATGTTACACAGATGTTTATAAAAACATTTTTATATCATTATTTTGGGAGTCTCGTGACTTAGGTTGGGAGCTATCTATCTAGAATCTCATTTACAGGATCCTTATCTTGAAACACGAAATGTGTTGTCTTAAATTATTTCTGCTAGGTGTTATATTATAGTATGACATACTATATTATACACTCATTTCACATTTATTTTGTGTGCTATCTCTTGTCATCATAGAATCTTAAAGGGAGGACTTTTTTGGTCCCTATCAATCGCACTAAAAACAAAAAAGTTACACGCTCAGGAACCATTTATAACAAATTTATCACATATTATTACAATAAAGAAAAAACAAAAAATAGTACATAAACTTGTTATGTGTGTATTATAGATATCAGAAGTAAATATCTTGTGGATATGATAGTTTAGCTGATTGGAGAAGCATCTGTCACTGGTTTTGTATTTGATTAGGGCAATAGTTAGTCAAAAAAAGGGGGCTGAGAATTAAATAGTTGGTGGGTAAGGTACCTAGTGAACGTCAACTTAATTGTTTTATCTTCTTTTTTTTTTTTTTTCTTTTAAAAAAATAGCTGTCATGGTGTCCAAGTGGGGTGAGAGCTAAGTGTTGGAAAAAAAACACTGTTCTGAGCTTTAATGTCGTGCAAGTTATCAATGCTTCAATAATATAAATAAATCAGATGCATGTTTTTATCAGTTTAAGAGCCTTAGGACGGTTCTATGAAATTATTAGTAAATATTTCTAAAGTTCCATAAATGGCTGTTATTACAGTAAAATATGATTTATTTTCTTAAATTTGAAAGTAAGATATTTAAATAATCACATTTTGTTCTTTTTTTTTTTATAAAAGAAAAATGTGATTGCTAGTTCTTAGTTTTTTTTTTGTAGGATGGGTATATTGTTATCTAGGTAAATAGGATTGGTATATACTTTTTGCGCATTACATATTGATTGTTTTGAGAGTTTACTTTTTATATCTTGTATAAAGTATATTTATATTTACGATTAATTGAAAATAGCTTAAATATGACCTATAATGTAATTATTATAAATAAATAAACCTTATTGTGCACAAATCATTATTGAAATGGATGACAGTGTCAACATCTTATATAATTTGAGTATCTTTCACTTAAATTCTTCCTTTAAAAGCATGAAATTTTACATGCGGAAAACAGCCAATTTAATTAAGTTTTAGATTTCTATATGTTGTCTATCTAAAAAATAAATAAAGAATTACAATATGGCAACTGTCTAATGCCCTAGTCATCTCAAACTCTTTATTTTTTATATTTTTAATTCAAATTAACAGGTAATAATTTTTATTATGTTATTTATAATTAATTAGAAAATAAAATTATGCAACTTTAAAATATTATATACGAATATTGTTGTAGATTATTGAAGAATATTTATTATTGAACATTTAAAAGTTATGAGAAAAATATTCTACATTTATTTTAAACCCTAACATTAAAATAAATGTAGATCTTAAATTTTAGTAAAAGTAATATGATTTATAAAAAAATTGGTTGAAAAGATAGAAATCACATTACTTATTCAATTTACTATCGATTCTTTTATTAATTAAATTAATTTATTTTCTCATTGGGATTTTGTTTCAACAATTATTTTTTTAATTTAAACTAACTTTACTTTTAATTTGAATTTTAATAATTATTTTAAAAAAATAATTAGTTAAAAAAATTAAGATTAAAAAAATGCTTAATTAAATAAATTCTAATAAATCAATAATCTATGAAAAGATCATTTTATAATTTTCAAATATCACTACAGCAATTAAATAACTTTATTTATTATTTTTTTAATATTTTATTATGTTAAAATTATTTATAAATTTAAGTATTAATTAATATAAAAATTAAATTAAATTAAATTATGAAAAAAACCTAAAAGTGTAATTTACAATAAAAAATAAAATAGTGGCAGTTTCGTTATTTCAAGTAAATTAAGTGACACTTTGGCAGAACAACGATGACCTCTAATTCTCAACGGTTGCTCCCCGACGTCGTTTTGAGAAACCCGAGCGCGCCAAATGAAACTTGCGCGTTTCCCGTTTTGCCCTCGAAACCAGACTCAATTTCAAACCCCATCCCTTCCGCTCTTAGTACTCTTTTATTCTTCTTCTATTTCTTCCCTGAGGTTACACGGCACCGACCCATGGAGCCACCCGCAGCGAAACACGGCTCCTTACGAAATGTTCTGGTTCGTCTCTTCTCCTTCGCCGTCCTCATCTTAGCAGCGCGATTTGCCATCATCGTCACCGTCCGCGGCGGATCCTGCGAATCCGCCGATTTCTGCTTCTTCTCCGAAAACCTCACTCTCTCCACTCCCTCTCGTTCCTCCGACGCCGAAGATATATTTTCCGGAAAGAACTGGCGCCGATCAGTCGAGCACTACGCCGCCTTTTTCCAGGACCTCATCGCCGACGGCTACCTCTCCCCGAACTCCCGCGCCCTCTGCATTGACACGCCCGCCGGAGAGGACGTCCTGGCTCTGAAAGAGGTCGGCATCGTTGACTCCGTTGGAATCTTCAAGAAACCGTCGCCGCCGCTGATTCTACACGGTGACGGCCGCCGGCATCCTTTCTCTGGCGACGCTTTCGACTTCGAGTTTTCCGGCCACGGCGGCCTGGAACGTTCCCCGCGACCGGCGGTCTTCGCCGCCGAGATCTGCCGCACCCTCCGTCCCGGCGGCTTTACGGTTGTTCACGCGGCGGTGAGAGATGCTTACAGCTTCGATTCTTTCCTTGAATTGTTCAGTTGCTGTGAATTGATCAGAACACGAGAAATCAACGGTGTTGATTCCCGTCCGGTTCTTGAAATTTTGTTGAAGAAGAAAAAGGAAAACCCAAATTTCGAAATCGAAACCCTAGATAGTGGCAATTTCGTGAATAAGTGCTCTGTTCCTGGTTATAAACGTGAAATAGTTAAAAATGCAGAGTCGTTGATTGAGGAAGAGCCATTGAAGCCTTGGATTATATTAAAGAAAAATGTGAAGAACGTCAAGTACTTAACTTCTTTGGTTGACATAAGCTTTAAGAATAGGTATGTGTATGTTGATGTAGGAGCTAGGAGTTATGGTTCTAGCATAGGAAGTTGGTTTAGGAAACAGTACCCAAAGCAGAATAGAACCTTTGAGGTTTATGCAATTGAGGCTGATAAATCATTTCATGAAGGGTATAGGGAAAAGAGAGGGGTAACATTGTTGCCCTATGCAGCTTGGGTGAGGAATGAGACATTGTTCTTTGAGATCACCAGAGACCCAAGCAAAGTGATGATGCAAGGAAGAGGCATGGGGAGGATAAACCCTGTGCAAACCTCTTCTAGCCATATGGGTGACACGGACAAAATTCAGGGTTTTGATTTTGCAGAGTGGCTCAAGAGTGCTGTAACAAAAATGGATTTTGTGGTGGTGAAGATGGATGTGGAAGGGACAGAGTTTCATCTCATCCCAAGGTTGATTCAGACTGGGGCTATATGCTTGATTGATGAGCTCTTCCTTGAGTGCCACTACAATAGGTGGCAGAGATGCTGCCCTGGACAGAGAAGTGCAAAGTATCACAAGACCTATACTCAATGCCTGCATATGTTTTCTTCACTTAGAAGTTATGGAGTTTTAGTGCATCAATGGTGGTGATAACTGATATAACATAACCCACAGGAACATACTCTTTTTTCTGCTTTTCTAAAATTTGTGTATAGAGGTATAGATATTCTTTATATTGTTTTCCACGGTGTAGATAGGATCTTACACAACTAAATTGATTCGGTTCTTTGTCATTCATTTCTCTCATTGTCGTGCTTGGTGACGAAGAGTTGAGTTAATGAAAAAATTTGTATATTCTTATGATAGCATTTGGTGATTTCTGTCATTATGAAGCTTCTTGTGAGGTAATGGTTTTACTCAGTTGCAGTTTGAGTGACGCTGACTGGTAAAAGATTTTAATATGACATCAACTAATTTAAGCATACAAATGGAAATGGTTGTCGAAGTTTGTTTGAAAAGAAGCATAACTGCTGGAGCCGGATTATTGCGTTGAAAATTCAAGATTTTTACGAAGTTTCATCTCCAAATGATCCTCCCTGCGTGAAGGCAGTTCCTAGCAATGGAAGCATAATCCTTGTCTGCATGACACTGTTATGGTCATTTGTAAGTGGGTCTGCATCAGGTTTAAGTAAGACCTAATTAAAACAACTTAATTAGTACAGGATTTTTTATTAGGTGTTTTAAAAAAATTATATATTTTTTCTTATAAATACATATAATTTAATATTTTCACAACAGTTTAGTATGCATTTTTTTTTAAAAAGTGGATTATCTTTTCTTGATACTCTTTTTTTTTCTCACGTTAAAAAAATTATATAATTGTTTAGTTGTACTCAATTTTTTATATTTGTTTAAATATATTTTTTTTAAATTGAGACGTTTAAGTTACTACTTATCATCATCCGATTTCACCAATATGAATATGAGTGTATGGATAAGAGAGATGAGTAAACATTTAAATATTCAAATTTAATTCATAATTATTCGTATTCTATATAATCATTCATATCCAAATTACTTTTTAAGTTCTTTTTGTTATATTTTTAGATTTTAAATTCAACACATTTAATTAAATTTAGATTAGATATGAATTAAATTTTACTTTTGGATTTTAAAACTCCAAAATTAAGGTTCATTCTAAAAAATCTGCTTAAGACAATTTTTTTTTCGTTGATTTTGGTTGAGACCGTTCTTACTTAATTTTTAAAATTGGTTTTGAGCACGCTTGAAGAGTTATGTGATATCAATTTTGATTGAAATATAATTGATTATTATATTAATAATGAATCTTACTTATCACATAAATTATTATTTCTTTTCCAAAGACTAATATTAAAATAAATACATACATTTAACAAAAAAGTTATTATATTAAAATTGCACGTCGCATGAAACATACATATTCATTCATATTGTTACAAGATCATAAATTAAGAAATTTTTTTATCAGAAAAAGTAATAAATAAAGAAAAGTAGAAAGAAAAAAAATTTCAATTAGATTCATCAAACACTTATATCCTATATCCTCATTTTTAATCGTTGTGTTATTAATCATTCTCTCTGTCAAAATTAACCAATCTTGAGAAATGTCTTAATTGTTTAATACATAAATAGATTCATAAACATGATTGATTGATAGATAAATAGATGAGTAGTAATTGTATTCTTAAGGAAAAGATGAGACAGGATATTTTTATAATTGTGTTTGGTCAACACAAAGTAACATGCAAAAGGAAACCATTAATGAACCTGATTCTCTCTCTTTATCTCATCCATTCATGATCACAATTCTCTCCCAAAGAGGTTCTCTCATAATATTCCTATGCTTTTCACTCTTTCCTCCCTTCAAAGTCTCTTAACCGCTCTCATGAAGGTCCATCCATGGAGGTAGGCCAGAAAAACATCTTTAGTGGTGGAACCAATAATGCAGAGGCATTTGGAGGATCTTTCATTTGCCACAGCACAGTTAATCAAATCAACTCCAAGGGAATCTGGTTTGGGGATGATCCACTTACACATTATCTCCCAGTTTTCTTGGTCCAACTTTTTCTCATGTTCATCTTCACCCATATGTTTTACCTTATCATCAAGCCCCTTGGTCAACCGTCTTTTGTTTCTCAAGTTCTTGTAAGCTTCAAAGCTTTCATTCCTAATGCTCATATTTATCTTCAAGTTCCATTTTGTGATAGATTATTTGTTGATCTTCTGCATTTTTTTTTTAAATCTCGTTATACAAAGTTCTTCAAGAAATATCATTAGAGAATGTTATGTTCAATATTGTCAATAAACAACATTAATTTACAAGTTCCATTTCATTCAATGATATAAAGTCATACGTGAAAACTGTCAAAATGTCATAAACTTATTCATGAGCCTAACTCTCACAATTATAATCTCTGAAAACAGATATATTAATAAACCAATTCATTGTGTGTATGTTTGTATTTGAAAAAAAAACTTATTTAGTAGGATGATAATTATATGACAATCTAAACATATAATAAATAACTTAAAATGATACCATAAAGTATTATTGTGAGTTATTTATTGATTATTTGAGTTATGAAATAATCATTTTTATTATTTTTAAATATCCTTATATAAATTTAATGTTTTATTTTTGTAACAAATTTGCTTTTTATCGGAATTAATTCTAATTTATTCTTTATAAAAAAATAAAAAAAAGTTTTTTTTTTCTGTTTTTGAATTTCTAAATATATTAAAAAATCAAGTGATTATTTTATTAAGAAATTTACTTTTAGTTTATAAAAAAAAAAAATTAAACAAACAGAACCTATAAGATTACTTTTCATATTATGTAGTGACAAGTCGTCCACACATTTTAATCGATTCATGATGTGTTTGCATAAATAATGGAGTGATTTGATCAATTATCTACTTTGTCCCCCCACAAAAAAAAAAAAATTTGCCTTATATTGTTGACCTTTTCTGAATGGTGCCAAAACGGTTTTACCTTTCAAAATTAATTTCTTCACTGTTTGTTTTCACCAGGGTGGTGTAACTTTAGGTCCTTCTTTTCTTGGGCTCAATACAACATTTGCTGATAAGGTTTTCCCACTAAAAGAGAGAAGTGTGCTTGATACCATGACCTTTTTTGGATTTATGTTATTCATCTTCTTATGTGGGGTAAAGATAGATCCAGCCATCGCTTTTAGATCAGGTAAAAGGACTTATGCCATAGGAATTTTAGGGTACTTTGTTCCTTACTTATTTTCCAAAGTGGTTGTCTATATCCTCACACGTTCTGGCTCATTGGATCATGATGTTTCTGTGATGCTCCCTATTGTGATAGAAGTTCAATGCATCACAGCCTTTCCTGTAATTACTCGCTTTCTTTCTGAACTTCAGATCCTCAATTCAGAGATTGGAAGGTTGGCCACTTCTTCTTCATTAGTTTCTGAGGTTTGCTACATGTTAAACATCACAGTAACATTTTTTATGAGATTATCTTTGACAAAGTCAATAGTAGTATCTATTGGATCCTTCCTGTCCACCGCTCTACTTGCTGTATTCGTCATCTTTGTAATTCACCCTGTTGCGTTATGGGCAATTCAACAATCACCAGAAGGAAAACCTGTCCAGGAAATTTATATCAGTGGAGTTCTCCTAACACTATTGTTATGTGGACTCCTAGGTGAAATCATTGGCATAAATGCACTCATTGTATCTTTCTGTATAGGGCTAGCTATACCAGATGGTCCACCCTTGGGAGCAGCATTGGTAGATAAGCTTGATTGCTTCGTCTCATTAGTGTTTCTACCCATGCTTTTTCTTATAGTTGGACTAAGGACAGATGTGTATGCCATACAGAAGATGAAGAATATAGCCGGAATTGAATTAGTTATTTGCGCTGCTTTTTGTGGGAAAATTTTAGGGGCTTTGTTGCCTCTCCTTTACCTTAGGGTGCCAATTCGAGATGCCTTTTCTCTTGGTTTTATATTGAACATCAAAGGCACTGTTGAAATGGCCGTGTTGATTGACTTGAAATTGAAAAAAGTAAGACACACTTATAATTCAAATGCACATTACAAGTTAAAAAGACTTTTCGTTTTGTGAGCTTAATTAATAGTCACTCTTCCATGTCTTTGCAGATGATGAATGATGAATGTTTTACAATTATGGTTCTTACTTTACTGTTCATATCCGTATTTGTGTCACTTATTGTGAAAGCTCTATACGATCCTTCTAAGAGGTTTCTTGCTTACAAAAGGAGGACAATTATGCATCAGCAAAGTGTTGAACAATTTCGCATACTAGCTTGCATTCATAAAGAAGATAATGTTTTGGCTATTTTAAACCTCCTTTCAGCTTCCAATTCAAATGAAGCAAGCCCTATTGATTTAGTTGTGCTTCAACTTATTAAGCTTGTGGGGCGATCTTCCTCTCTTCTTGTTGCTCATGTGCCGCGTAAAATGTCTGCTAAACACCCCACTCAAACTGAGAAGATTTTTAACTCATTCACCAAGTTTGCAGATGCATACAAGGAGAAGGTCACACTACATTACTACAAGGGCATTTCTCCCTATGCTACAATGCACAATGATGTGTGCTACTTGGCACTTGAAAAGAGAACAACTTTTATTATAATACCCTTTCACAAGCAGTGGATACTTGGAAGGGCAACCGACTCATTTGTTCCATTTCAGCAACTAAACAAGAAGGTTTTAGAGAAAGCTCCTTGCTCAGTTGGTGTCCTCATTGATCGTGGCACTCAGAAAAAGTTTTGGTGTGGCTACGCAAAGGAATCAAGTTATCAAGTGGCTATGCTTTTCTTTGGGGGTGCAGATGATCGAGAAGCCCTTTCATATGCAAGGCGTATGTTAGATCAACCTTATGTCCACATCACACTCTTTCATTTTACGTCTCCAACTCAGATTGTTGGAGGAACAGAAAGAAGCAAAATGCTTGACACACAAATCTTGAGTGAATTCAGGCTTAAGGCCTTCCAAAATGAGAGAGTTTCTTTCAAAGATGAGACGATATTGAATGGAAGAGATGTAATTACAGTTTTTGAATACATGGATAGTTGTCATGACCTTGTCATGGTTGGGAGGAGGCATGCAGATTCAAAAGTAATGTCAGAACTTTACAAATGGAAGCATGGGGAGTTGGGAGTTGTTGGAGAGGTTCTTGTCTCTTACAATGTTGGAGCCCAAACATCTATTTTGGTGGTGCAACAACAAATCAAATATTGGGGATCACGTGATACAGAGGAGTCATACATTTAAGAATTTGACACAAACATAGCAAAATTTAGGATTTGACAGAAGAATCATGTATAAACCTAGAGTGTACATTGGATATAGATCATGCACCCCCCTTGTGTACTTCCAAATTTAACCTTTCACTTTCTTCATTTTCTCTTTTTCCATTGTAGCGCCTTTGTTCATTTGTAAATGACTTATAAGTCATGATCATCCATGTTCGATACATCTGTGTGTTCAGTGTTTTTCTATTTTTATTATAAAACTATTTTCTTGGTTTAAAAATAAATAAAAAAGCTTATATGTTTCTTCTTCATAAATCTTGTTTAATATGCACACATTTAAGAAGGTAAAATTTTTTTGTATAAGTGTTAAATGATTTTGAAAAAAAAAAAGAGGTGTTTTTGCAAATGAAGATAGATTAAAGAACATATAAGCTATAACCCATTTTGAGTAAGTAGTCTACACGTACCAAGTAAGCCTTTAAGGTTGTCATGTAACATGTAAAATAAATTTGCTAAATTTGATATTAAAAGTCATACTTGTTTTTGTTAGTAATCAGAATAATTGCATAAGAACTTACAACTAAATTAAAAGATAAGAAAAAAAGAAACAAAACTTACAATAGTTTCTTCCATTATCCTCTTAATTCAAATAATTTCCTTACATGTTTGAGTGTTTGCCATGTACTTAGCTACTATGATAAACAGAGCTACAACGTCTTATAACTTGGATAACCAGTTATTACCTCTCTAACAAAGATAAACTCATCAAAATCACTTGCAAAACTTGAACAAACATAACATTTGACAAATATTTTTAATCCTCAAAACATAATACAACATCCAAGGTTTCTTTGATAAGAATTCTCTTGATAAAACTCATGTTCTCCACCACAATTTTCCATTGATCTACTAAATGCTCTCACTACTTGTGCAATGTCTAGTCTTGTATCGATCATGATATTCGTAAAACTTCTCACTGTTGATGTATAATAACAACATTTTGGTCGCACAAAATACTGATAAAAAATAATAAACAAGTTGCTAAACTAATGCAATATAACTAACTCGTGTCGAATATCACAAGGACACAATTATACGAACATACTCATTATCACATATCATTCTCTCTAAAACAGTAAATAGGAGATGAATGAAAGAGTGAAAAAGAAATAAATTGATGCAGTAATAATAAAATTACTATAGAAAAATGATGACAATTACACCAAAACAAAATTTAAATAACTAAAATTTATAAAATTAAAATAAAGTGTTTTTAATTAAAAGTGTAAGAATAAAAAATTGCTTTGAAATAAAATAGTGTAATAATTAAATTTGAAATTTCGAAAGTGATAACTCCAAAACTAAATTGCGAATTTGAATTGGAAACGAGATGAATCGAAAATGAAAATTATGTAGTACTAGAATAAAAATTCTAAATAATTAAATAGCAGAAATTAAAATGAACATTGAATAAATAAATAACTAGAACAGGACAAACTGAAAAATTCAATAGAAATTACAAATTAAATAAAAAAGAATAAACCGTAATAGTAGATTAACTCGTCTAACTAAAAACTAAACTACGAACTAAAAGTAGGAAAATAAAATGGGGACGAGACAAAACATCAATTCTCACCCCAAGTTAGGAGATTATGATTGTGGGTTATGTTGAATTATTGGCAAGCGTACCAAAATTATCAATCGCAGTATAGTATTTCGATTAAATAAAAGTCGATCCCACGAGGAACAGTTTTAATAAAAATTCCCAATTATGCTTACTAAGTAGATTAAAACAGATTAGGTTTTGCAAATAAGAGTTGAATTGAAATTAAATGACAAAGAACTGTAAATTGTTGAGAAAATATCAATTAAAGGTACTTAGGATTGACTTCCTTCCTTATCCCTCTTTTGTAATGGCTAAATCAATTAAGAACATCAATTAACCTAACAATGTTGATGCCACCTACTCAAATCATCCATGTTGATTCCTCACACATGAAATTCATAAGAAAACCTAATAAATGTTGATTCCTCACACAATTAAAAGATTTTCCAGTATTAGGGTTAGGGTGTTTAAGCACTTGATACATTCATTTCATTCCTGGCAATTAACGTAACAAATATTCCTACCGTGATCTAGGATTCAAGATATATTTTCCAATAATACCTCAAACAATCAAGAATAAATCATTCCAAAGCATAAAGGATAAGAATAACAACATCAAAACATAGATTAATATCTCAAAATATCACCAAGATACAAAAGAGTTCAAAAAAAGTGCACTGAATCCTAAGAGAATGAAGTTAGCCACTCATGTTGGTCATTACAATGCTCCAATTAATGAAGAAGTGAAGAATTGACGAAGATTAGACAAAACCCTAACAGTAGTCGTGTCTCCTCCCCTCCAAGACTGCTTCTTTTTCTCAAAACACAACTTATCCTTTTATAAGAGAATTTGGGTAGGGCCTCGCATCATTCATTCGCTTAAGCGCTCTTCTTTATTTCAATTTTACTCCAATTATGCTGACAATTATGCTCCTTACTTTTGTATCAAGATATTCTCAAATTCATCCTATATTGGGAGAAAAATATATTAGAATTAACATAAGTTAAGTGGTTTCATAACAATTCAAGGCATAATTATATCAACTTTTTACCACTTAACAACTCCCCCCAACCTAGAATCTTGCTTGTCCCAAGCAAAGTAGTTTTTCCAAAACAAAATCATCACCTATTATCTCTTTCTCTTCTAGAACCACAACATAAAAATTTTCAGGGGTGATGCTCACAACTCCAAATGAAAATAGAACACATAAGCATTCAAGTTATATAAACCAACAAAGAATAATTAGTCCTCAACTATCCTCAGAGAAGCATGATCTCTCAAATAGAGTTATATATACTCATCTCTAATTCTCACAGGTAAGTGTTTATCTCATTCAATCACTTCATTTAGACAATCCAATATTGATAATCATCTTCAAACAATCAACAATTATTAAACAAGACTTAAATCAAAAGGTCTTTTGAGGCTTGTAATGAGGCTAAGCTAAGAAAGAATTATTGGTTTTTCTGGGATATACAAAAATATTTGAGAAATTCAACTCATATGAATGATTCTTGATTAACAATTCCTCAAGTCAGGTTTCAAACTTCATGTTTTTGTCCCTAACACAATGATAATGAGTTCATAATCTCACAAGTTATTACCCACTTTTAACTTCTTCTTTTTTTTTGCTTTTGCATGTATCCTTTTTTTTTTGCTTTGCAAATTTTTAAGTTTTGCTTTTCCTTGTTCTTTACACTTTTTTTTTAACAATAACACCCCAACAATACCTGTAGGAAAACAATAGCAATACCCAACAATAAGAAAAATAGTGACATTCATACTCATTTCCTTTCTCAAATATAGGAAGGTAGATAAATAATGTTTAAGCTTAAGGGTTCTGTTTAAGAAACAATATTATTTTTGGCTCAGAAGGGGTTCAAATGGATGTCCTATAATTAATGCATGGTTGACTATTTGGCTCTGGGTTATATATACTACAAAGAAAAAAATGTCTTTATCATCTTCAAGTTTTGCCAACATGTAATCACATCAAAGAATCAACCAATATCAGTTATCATCACAAAGTGTTGACACTCAATTTATCTGTTTTTGGTACTCTGCTCGCCTGAATTTTGGTTAGCTTCTCCAATTCAGTTAATTCCTAATTTTCCTCATCAATTCATTTTCACTATCATACTCAATATCCCAAAATCACTTGTTATTAGAAACAATCAAAATTATTTTTCATGTTCTAGATTTGAATTAGACAATAAGCAATAATCTCATATATGACTCTAAAACAAATTATGGGACAACAAGGGAATTCAAAATTTAAAATAAAGCAATTAAAAACATTAAATTAAAAACAAAGGAATTAAAAACATTAAAAGTAAAGTAAGTTTCCTCCCTCATTTTCTTCACTTGTCATGTACTCCTTATCTTGTGTCTCAGCCTCAGCTGCAGACTTTCTCATCCCCTCCAGAAAAGTTGGACTGTCCCCAGGCCATTGAAGTAAGACTTCAAAGTCTTGAGGAGAAGTGCACTGTGTACCTGGATCAATTTTGTAAAGAAAGAACCTAAGGAAGAGAAATGCACAAAAAACTTAGATTGCAAAAAGAAGAAAAAAAAAACAAATTCAAAACATTGGGTTACCTCCCAAGAGCACTTGTTTAACGTCTTCAGTTTGACGTCTATTTGCTTTAGGACTCATGCAGGTGAGTGATCAAGGTGATATATACGCATTCTCCATCCCTTAACTGTCCTTGTGAGAATGAATTTATTCTTTTCATTGCGAATAACCTTACAACTGTCAGAGATTGGATAAATCATACCTGCTTCAGGAGGTTTCAGTACCTTTCTTTGAACAACTTCCTTCATAGTCAGACTAAGATGTCTTTGGGGTTGTGCAACAAGCTTGTAATCTTGTTTTTCAGTTGAGATGGTTAATTCCTCCAAAGTGTATATTCTAAGACAATCTTTCTTGTCTTCCGGTTGTTGTACAACTTCAAACAGATTAAAATTAACTTCATCATCTCCACTTCTAATTTTTAACTTGTCCATGTCAACATCTATAATTACTTTGGCAGTCTTCATAAATGACCTTCCCAGGATCAATGGGACTTCCTCATTTTCCTCCATGTCCATAATCACAAAATCAACAGGAAATATGAAATTATCCACTCTAACTAAAACATCTTCTGCTACTCCATAAGGAATCTTTACAGATCTGTCAGCTAGCTGTAATATCATTCTTGTAGACTTTACTTTCAAGTCTCCTATTCTTTTAAGCATAGACAAAGACATTAGATTTATAATAGCACCCAAATCAAGTAATGACTTACCTACTTGTAACGTCTCAATTGTGACTGGTATAGTAAAACTGCCAGGATCCTTGGACTTTTGAGGTAATGATTTCTGAATTATAGCGATGCATCCTACTTCTAGCTCCACTGTTTCTGCAGTAAATCTC